CAGGGATATTACTTAATTCGTGTCCTGAAACCCTTTTTCCCGCGGTAGCAGGTCCCCAAAATATCTCGGTACAGTCCCCTTGGCCCCTTTCACCGGGCAGGGCCGTGAGACTCGCTCACAGTGTGCCAGCCTGGACCACCCCCCGCCCCGCACCGGCTCTACCCCAAATCTCTGGGAATTTGGGAGAATTTGAGCTCAGTCCCAGCGGTGCCACCCGTGCTGGGATGCTTGGAGGCAGTTTTTAGCCTTTCCCTGCCTCACAGGAGAGAGATGAAGATCCCTTGATGATAGCGGGTACCCCAGGTACATCCTTACGGGGCGTTCCCACGCCCAAGCATCCTCTTTCGGCATCCCCGAGGCAGAGGCACGGCCTGGGGAGGGGACCAGCAGCACGGTGCTGCCTGCATGACTAATTGCACCCAGGAGGTAACGAGGTTTTTTTATTTGCAGAATAATTCAGGAGATGACTGTGGTTGTCGACAGGAAGCGGCCGGGGTGGGCTTTGACGGCGTCGGGAGCTGCGTCGGGCGCCCGTCACGGCTCATCCCGGCTTTTGCTGGTGTCTCCAGTTCCGTGGGTGCTGCGTTTCAGCCCTGGGGCAACCGGTTTCTGTCTCTTCCCGCTACTCTCCTTTGCTCCCATCTTCTGACAACCCGTTTCCACCTGCCCTTCATCCTCCCTCGGGTACCGCCGCGCTCCCGCTGTGTCTCCGCTACCCGTCAGCTCAGGCATGTGCTTCGACAGGAACCCAAATTTACCTCTTTGATACTCGTCCCTCTCATTTTCCCTTTCCAGAAAGGAAATTTGCTTCTGTAATTGCTGTCGTGGGGGTAAACTGAGTCACGGGTGACTTCTGTGGGGTGTAACCGAAATCACGGGTCGTCCCAAGGGAGGGACCTGGGGGGTCTTTGCATCGGTCACTGGTGGATATTGGTACTTCTGGGGCTGTTTCAAACATCCCTGGAATTCCCCGTGAACATAAGTCCGACTTCTTTAAGGAGGGGAGGTCACTGAAGTTTGACAACGCTATTAATATTTTAAAAAGCCCCTAAAATGTATCGCTTAAAGCACAGTGGCACAGCGGGTTTGGTTTTTTTCCCTTCCTTTCTCTTTTTTCCCTGTTAATGCTTAAAACGGGGCCTTAGTGTGGCTTGAGCGACTGCTTCTGGTGGGGCTTCCCTTCCGTGGAGAAGGAACCTCCCAGGGCAGGAGGGAGTTTGCCAGACAGATAAGTCCTTCCCCCCTCTTCCTCTGCCAGGTAAGAGAGGAAGAAAAGATCCCAGGGCTTCCAGCTGGCCCTTGTGCACATGCTTTGGGGGTCTCCTGTAGGGACTGGGGGGCCCGTGGGGTGAGGAGGAGGAGGAGGAGGAGGGAGAGCATCCGTGTGCGTGGCTCCGGGGCTCCCCGACGTTCGTCTCGGATATTCCGGGTGGTCCCGGGGCTGGTGCGTGCCCCCAGCCGGCGACACCCCTCGCTGCGGGATGTTGTGGAGACGGAGCAGCTTGGAGGTGACCAAGTCCTGGAGAAAAAAGCACCCGAAGGTTGCGAGGCACAAAGATGCATCCGGCTCGGGAGGTCCTGGAAGCTGGAGCCCAGAAAGGATTTGGGGACCACGTCCCTCCACCCTGGTCCCGCTCACGTGGGACCTCTTCAGGTGTCTTCTGTGGCCGATGGCGGATGGGACGTTGGGGCAGTCGGACCTTCGTGCTTGTCCCCAAGACCTCTCACGGGGGGAGCCTGGCCGTGTTTCGGCAGGAGGCCGTGCGGTGGGCGCAAAAGCCGTCAGCTGGGATCGTACGTTGGGAGAATATTTGGTGCTGAAGCCACCGGGCTTCAAGGTGTGAAGCCTCTGAGCCAGGGAGGACCACTTTGGGACATGGTTTGGTGGGCGCGGTGGTGTTGGGTTGGCGGTTGTACTCGATGATCTAAGGTCTTTTCCAACCTTCATGATTCTCCGAGCGTTGCCCTTTCCGTGGGGTTGTTTGGGAGCCAAGCTGGCTGGGAAAATGACTTTTTCTTTTAAGCTAATCACTTTTTGGCTGAATCGGGATGGTTACGCTCCTCAGGGATTTACACCAGCACTGGAGCTGGGGGCAAGGAGTAGTTCGAGCCGCGATTTGTGAGAGCTGCCCATCTCTTCGTCATCTCCATTCCTTGGGGGCTCCGTGGGCTGGCCGGACCAGCAGCTCCTCGGTGGAAAAATCATCTTTACTGGGGTGGTGGGGAAAGGGGCAGTGGCACCTTCTCACTGCCTTTTGCCTTCTTGGGGAGAGGGAAATCGTGGGATCTTGTGCTTGGCACCCGTGAAACGGCATCAAGCTCTCCTGAAGAGGCCGGTGTCCCGGTCCCTGATTTCGGGTGCCCGTGCAGGAGACACGGGTCCCACCAGGACTGTGCCTTTCAGCCCTGTGCCCTCGGCTGCCCCCGACTGGCGCTGGCCACCACTCCTCTTCCCCGTGCCCGTTTTGACCGTGCGCTCCGTCGGGAGGACGTTTTGGTGCCTGCCAGCCCTGGGAAAAAGCTTTTTCCACTGAGTCATTTGCTGCCTCTGCTTTTCGTGAGACGGCGCCGAGATTCGGGGGAAGGGGAGATGGAAAAACCCAGCCCAGATCTCCCTGCTCCGGCAGGACCAGCTCCACGCCAGCGCAGCTGCCCCGTGTTTGCTTTTTGGAGGGAGTGGCAGACAGACAGCGGCATAAATAGAACAGGCCTGGCTATTTTAAGACATCAATTACATGTTCTGTGCATTAAAGAAAAAAAAAAAAAACCCACAACAAAAAACCCCGTTGTTTTAGCTGCGACTGTCAACGTGGGCTTGAGAGGAGCAGGGGCAGCTCCGGCGGGGACGGGTGTTTCGGAGCCATCGCCCCAGCGGCCGCGGATGAGCTGCAAGGACTTTCGCTTCTTGCATGCGTTTCTCCTCGAAGTCGCGGTAGACGGGTGGTCGCCCACTCGTGCCGCCGTTTGGGTGTCACCCTGCCGCCGTTTTGGCGTTGGGCTGCTGCGGACGGGGAGCGACGGCATGAATCACGGGACCACTAAGGTTGGAAAGGACCTTCAAGAGCATCAAGTCCAACCGTTAACCCAACGCCACCGTGCCCGCTAAGCTCATGCCTGGATGCCCCTTCTCCAACAGCATTACTGGTACTGGTTGGAAAAGACCTCTAAGATCATCAAGTCCAACCGTTAACCCAACGCCACCGTGCCCGCTAAGCCATGTCCTGAAGCGATGGGCTTGGTCTGGGCGAGGGGAAACCTGAGCTGCAAGGGAGGAGGGCAGCGACCCCGCGCCCCGCAGCACGAGTGCTTGTGAAGACTCGTGCCCGGGCAAACCAAACAAAGAGCATTAATTGGGGTCTCACCGCCGAAGAGCGGCAGATGGCGTGTCAAGGTGGAGGAAGGTGACGTTTGGGGTTTTCAGGCAAGGCGGATAAGCCTTCCTCTGGGAAAAGAGGGCGAAAGGTGTTGAAGCAGCTGCCGAAAAGAGCTGTCTCTCCACTGGCAACCCTAGCCACAAAGGGGTTTTTTTGGTGTAAATCAATCTGAAAATGCTTTTTCCTCT